CCCCAAAACCCCAAAACCCCAAAACCCCTTTGTTTTGCATTGATCCAACTTGTGAAGAAGTAATAAAAATAAATCAATGTTCATATTAGAATATAGCACTCATTGTGAATTATCTAAGTTTCGATTCTCTAGCTTTAGAACTTCGCTTATCTTTGATGAATCCTGATAGTGCGTTCTACATCTCAGTTCTATTCATCATTTTCCGAATAATATCTTTTGACCTAGGAGATTGATTTCTAGGGCTGTTATTCTATGAATTTGCAGTTGATTTTGCTAAAAATCTGTGATTTTTTCTGGGTATCTATGTTTAAGGTAATATCTATGAATTCATGATGGTTTCATCAAATCTCTCTGAATTTAAATTTGGCAGCTAGAAGCTAGATCTATTCAATTACTTCTCTTTGTAAGAGATTATCATAGACTGAAATTAATCAAGTTCGTCCTAATTTAACTCATATAGGGAATTAACCTGTTCTGGAGATGATATGTTAATTTTTGATCGAGAGTTAGTTCTAGTTCTGCCAAATTTAACTTTCTTTTATTAGCTTTATAAAGCAGGGTGATTACTATGCTCAGTATTAGGAGTCATTGGTGTCAGAAAACTATTAGGCGTGTTTCTCTAAGACATGTTTTCAGCTTTAAACAATCTAGTTAAACTTTTGATGAGCTCATTTGACCTTAGATATCTTCTCTCTACTTAATTTGATAATCGATAGAACTATTCTCTTGTGTGCTATGTTTTTGTTGAAGGTTTCTTGGAGTAGTTTTCTCCTTAGAGATAAGCTTATTTCTCTCTATAGATGACTCCATAGTTCATCTGTAATATTTTTCTCAGAGGTACCTAATAATCTAATAGTTGAATTACCTGATTGCTTCTCAGTCCATTACTTTACATTAAATTGTCTAAATCTTGAACTTATTATTCAACAGATTGATTATTCTATGTGATGTCGAAATTATGCATTCCATTTTTCTCCTCTTACCGCTTCATTTGAATCGCCTTCAAAAGCTTTGATAGATCAGTTTCTTGTTATATAGCATTTTAGCCCAAATATGTCTTGACAGCTTCAGAATATTATTTTGGAAGTCGATCTGTCCTAACCTTGGTTACTTTTTATCCTGCAATAGGTTCATGACCATGAATTTTAGCTTCGAATAAATTTGATATCGATTCATTAGTGTTGAAAAAATGCAGATCACTTAGGTACATGGTATTGTTTGCTGAATCTTCTTTAAGATCTCTTTTCTAAATTGAAATTTATCTATTTAGGACAGATACCTTTTACTTGCTTCTCTTTTTCTAGTATTCCCTTAATTACTCCTTTTTCCGTTGCTAGTTTCGTAACCTCTCTATTTAGTTTTATGTCTGATCATCTAATATCTCGTAAGGTTTTTTCTCAGGAGGATCGAGTTTTATTTAGCGCAGCAATGCTAAATCTAAGTGATGATCTTTATTTTTCTTGCGGCCAGTGTTATCTGGAGAACTCTTCTCAGAAATATTAAAAGAGGATCTTCTGTTGAGGGTATGTGTTAGCTTAGATGTTTATCTCCTTAGAGCCATAAGTCTTCTAGAACTCATTCTTGATTCTGTCCCTAAATACTATGAGGAGTCACTTTAAACCATTTCTCTTTGAAAATGCATCTACCTTGTTCTTTATTTGAATTCAATATTAGCTACAAAGTTGTCATAAGCAGCAGGTTTAGGTTCTGGGTCATCTTCTTTTTCATAGTTGAGATCAAATCTTTAATCATGGTGAATTACAGTTAAATTAGCAATATTGCTAAGCATCATAATAGTTTAAAGAGCATTGAACGGCTTAATATTTTTCATCAATTCATCCTCTCTCATTTTCTACTGTATTTAATCAAGGAATACTTCGATAAGTCCAGAGGCTACTTAAAAACTTTCATTGACATTAGGAAAGAAATCAAGTTATTGATAAAGTGATGGCAATGTATTTTTCGTTAATTTTTTCATGTTACTTTAATTCAATTCCAAATATTTTATCGATATATATTATATTTTTGTTGTGATGGGGTTTTGGGGTTTTGGGGTTTTGGGG